GGGCTGAAAGTAGTTACCTGTGGTGCAAAGAGGAAAAATCCCGGCTTCGTGGCTGTGGGACAATATAGTACTTCTCTTAGATTTTGCCCATCCCAAGAGTTCATTTCCAGAAATGGGTGATTCTTATGCCGATGTCCTTAGTTACACTGTTCTTTTAAATACCTACATTTAAAATGTGGGCAGAAAAGTTTAAATTAAAAACCTATCCATCTGAATAGTGGGATCTACTTTTCTTCCTGATAGGCCTTCTTTTAGAGCTAGACTGGGCTGACACACAGGGAAACATACTTTTCAAACTCATCTGCTTCTATTATAATTAGAAGAATGTGTTCCAGTGTAAAATGGATGGCACTTTTTTGGCAATGGCCTCTATGAAAATTCAAGTCATACAAACAAAAGCAAACAGTGTAAATAATGTAACTTCTACCTCTTTAACTGTTTTGGCCCTTCCTTTAATGGGAATATGTGACATAGGACAGTGAGAGCTCATATCTGAGCAAGGGTGACAGTTGCTGCTTTTTTGGAAGTAATTCAGGATGAACCAGTGTAAAATCTTGGGTTCCTCTCTTTTCAGTTTTTATGCTGCAACATTCCTCTGTCTATTTTTGAGGTATTCTTCAACACTTGAGGGGTCAGCTGTGGGTGCCGTGGCAAATAATATGATCTGACACATCTGCTACAAAGGGTGCCAGAGATAAACAAAGACTTAACTTTCTGACCTCAAACTTTTGTGGTGTGTCAAAGGAGATACCCTTCTGTCATGCTTCAGATTTGGTGCATTTCTGTAGTGAAATGGTAATAAAAATATGCAAAAAAATTTCAACCATATAGAAAGGATATCCTAAGTCAAGTATCATCAGCATCATATCTTTCACCTGTTCATGTTCTCAAAGTAATTTTTGTAGTCCTGTGTGTGGTTTGTCTTTCCAAGCTCTTCTTTTGTCCTCTACCAGGTATTACAGGGAGATTTTTGGGGCATTGGTGATTTCGAAGAGCTTCATATGCGTTGATAGAGGATAGAAAAGTGTAAGTTTATTCAGAGCTGTGTGCTGTTGGTGTGAATTTATCCTTGCTATCGTGCGATCTTGAAACTTCTCACCAACTCCTTTGCAAACAATTCACTTGATTTTCCTTTGATATTAAAGCTTGAAAATGTACTCTGAATAGAATAAACTGGCAAACATACGACTCAGAAGTATTTGGGAGCTCTGCTACAGTGATGTGTTTTTGTGACTTCTCTTTCTCTTCCTACTGAATTAGGCATATAATTAATTTTACTGTGAAGTGCAGTGTTCAGTTTTTTGATGCAATGGTAAATTTCATAAGACAGTGAAATCAGCTTTTGAAAACCAATTTGAAAGAAAATTACCTCATCTAGAGTTTGTTAAAAAATTTGGATTTCTGTAATACATACGCACAGTGTTAAGACATAGAAATGTCTACTACATAAGAGTTGAAGTTTTAATAGGTTTGGTTATAATACTTAGTGGAGGATAATACATGAAATAATAAAGCATGAGAGTCAAATTAAAACATGTGGATTAGCCCATGTAAAAAACAAGGGTATATTAAGTCAGTTGAAAAAACTAAAAGTGAGAGACAAACTAGATACGGCTTTCCATGAAGAAAAAAATAGAAGAGGTAGAACATATGGAAGCCAAATGGTCCCAGAAACTTCATATTTATGGACAGAATGATAGGAAACTGACTAGCAGTATTAGTGATGATGTATTAAATTCCTGAAAGTTTTAACAAAGGGTTCTGTCATCTTGACTGCTGTGTTTCTCTGTCCTTGAATTCATATTTGTGCAAAGATTCCCATCCCCAGAGGTCAGAAACCTTAAGACTTAGGCAAGATTTTAGTGCTGACTGAAAGCAAGAGAGAAATTATTTTAAAAATAAAGTCAGAAAGCTTTAAAGTATTCATTGCTCTACATTTTTAGCTGGATTATAGAAATAAAGATTTCTGCACATAAGTCAACACAGAATATGGATCTGTCTTGTTATATCTGTGTTGCATTATTCATTACTCATGTATATCAGGATAAAGAAATAAAAGTTCTCTTCATCTGCTGTGGGAAGCCTTTGTACTGCTTTCATGGAACCACACTGACTTCCTGCTCCAGGTGAGGCAGGAAGGGAGAAGTCATGGCTGTCCTTAGGCTTGTTTTTTTCTAAAAGATGTGATTATTAACTTCAGATCTTAAGAATGCTTCTTGGAGACCGAATAGTCAGTCTTTATTTGGAATAGATTTTCAGAGTTAATTGGCCTTGGCTGTATGTTTTTTATATTAGGTCACTATGAGTTGTTAACAAGAATGGCTTGCTGATATCTTCACTCTTTATGGTTGATCTGAAATCTTATTTAAAGAAGCAATTAAAATGGAAGCCTTGTAACTATAAGTGAAGTCAGAGCTTTTCTTGACTGAAGAGGGCAGAATATGCAGACTGGAAGTGTTTTGAACACTGCTCTTTGTGTTCTTCCAACCCTTCATACCCACCTGTGAAAAAAAAAATGGCAGCTCAAGTCAGTTGTTGCCACAAAGTCCTGTTTTTTGCCTTTCGTGCAAAAAATGAGGCCCTTCACTGAAGAGCGAAAGTAAGTATTGAGTATTCAAATAGTGTTTAACCTCTGCAAGATGTGATCCGAAGCCATGGAAGCAATTTTGGACGTCATATTGAAGGCTGTTGAGGTAGCTTGTTTGCTATCATATCTCCTTTAGTGCTCTGAATACATGGCAAACCCCAGTACCTCTTGCCCCGTGTTGCTAGTTGAGCTCTTGTTTTAATGATCTCTTCTTCCCCTTAATAAGGAAGAGTCTGTTTTTCTAACTTTTTTGTTTTTAAATTTGTGGATCTCTTCAGTCATACAAACCTGGTTTGCTTCTTCCTGTGTTAGTAAAAGGACAGATTTTGAAAATGCCATTGGGGCAGGAGGATATAATTGCAGTGTGAAAGGGGTGAAAGTTTTACACAGCCTAACTGGAATACTGAGGTAAATGCTGAAAAGTCAAAGTAAGTATCCTAGCCAGTTGAAGTGGATGTTGAGTTTGAAACCCTTCAACCTATCAAGATACTGTATTTGAAGAGTCATTAGTTATCTTCTTTCACTCCATTGAATCTGTTTTCTTCTGTTAGTGGGCTCAAGACTTCTGCAGGTGTAAAAGGCTGAAGGGAAATGTCTGCAATAAGATGCTGTTGTTACCTCTTGAAGACTATATATGCATTTTGACAGAGTTGTATTTCCTTGGAGAGCACTTTGCTAGAAGGCTTAGTGCTAACAAAGGAGAGTGGGATAGCAAATAAGAGCGAAAAACGTAGTTTGCAAGATTCTGTGACTGGTAGGGTGCAGTTGAAAAGTCTTTCCTCTTAAAAAACAGTGTTATTTAGAGTATTTATCAAGTCTAGAATATTTCATGGATTGCTCATTTGAAGCTGGAACAACTGTTTGTGTGATAGTTTTGGTGGAACTCTGGCTGAACTGATTAAGTATTGGCTGTGTTCAAGCAAGCCTGACTTGACACTTAGTTAAATTTCAAATATAACAAAAGAAATCATTTTCCCTCTGCTGGCTTTGAAGGTTTTTTTATATGAAAGGGGCAATGAAGAGAGAGGATAACTTTGTGCTAATTAATAGTGCATGTTGATGCTATCTTGCTTAGGGAACGAGTTATCTTGGTAGAAGTGGTTGTGTGTCTAAATCGACCTGAATAATTAGGAACACAAAAAGGGTTACAATTGGAGTCTCACTTGAACTTACTACTTAATAAGCTATTTCTTTTTTTACAGGAGAGTTAGAGTTCTTTCTAGTATGGTTTCTAAGATAAATTAGCCTGTATGTTTCTCTCCCTTTACCCCAGCTGATGCAATAATCAGTAATTGTGGTTAGAAGAGTTCCTGTGTTGTCTCTAGACTGTTCCACTGGCAGTCGATGTCCTTGCCTTGTTGTGCGTGATTTTTTTTTTTTCAGAACTGCTTGAAAATATTTGTTGGCTTTATTCCTAATAGTAGTTTCAGTGGGGCATTGTTTTAGAGCAGTATTAGAATACTCTTAAGTATTTTACAAGAATGTTAAGAGTTTCCAAAAGCATTTCATATGGAGTGGAGACTTTTTAATCTGTGTGTATATGCTTTTAATGTTCAAGAATCAGTGTGAAAAGTTTCCTCTTCTAATCTCCTACTTTTGAGATCATATATTGCTTTTTTCTGTTGTATGGGACTCCTGCTTTCTGGTCTTAGTTGCCTGCGTTTACAACAGTAGCTTTCAGTTAATTGAAAATTTTGAAACCACCTTATTATCAGAGGAATTCTGAATTTTCTGTGAGGCTTTTTGGTCTTTGATCTGTGTCTTATCAGAGTTCTTCCGTATAACTTTGTATAAATCAAGAGGTACTCTTTTGGTAGGTTCTCTTGAGCTGTATGAGTTTTGTCCTCAAGCAATACCCTGATCTAGTTTGTGCTGCAGATTTTTAAATAGTGCAATAAAGGGAACAACAAATGAATGGACAAGCAAGTGGGAAGGGCTGAGAATGGAGAAATGCTGGTTTATACTATTAAAGACAAGGTGAAAACACAGATGAAGAAATAAGCATCATTTAACCTGTTTGTACAGACTCAGCAAGTTGTCCGGTTAGTGTGTGGACAGTAAGAGTAACCATCATGCTTTTCTTGACAGCTATCTTTCCTACAGGGAAACTGAAAGAATGAATAGTGTTTTGTTCTGACAGGCAAAGTTCTGGACTGAAGAGATGCCCTCTGGCCTATATGTGCCTTTAATCATAAAGAAGTGTGGGATATTCTGGTAACCTGTGTAATGGGTTTTGCATATGCCAGATTGAACAGCTGCTGTTATCCCTTCTGGTTTTTTTTAGCAAGCAAAACCTTATTGCTTTTTTGAGTATGCATGAATTAATGCTGTGCTTTCATGCATTTCATGAATCATCAAATAATGAAGTTGGTTTTTTTTTTTAAGGTGTTTGGGGTGGGAAGGTGGGGGGGAGTTTTATGCCTGAACCAGTTATGTAAGGACACTGGCTTGATAAAAAGCACTATCCCACCTCCACAGGGTCTGCTGCTTATTGGCCTTCTCCCTTCACCCAGATTGTAGCCTTTCCTGCTGGGTGCTCACCCCCTCTGTCTTATGCAGATCAAAGGTTTTGCCACCACACCCAAAACCCTCCTCATCTCCCTTGGCCAAGGGGTACAAACCTGGATCCAGCAAAGCACCCTGTTTCATTTGCAAATGGCCCATTGTTTTGATAATTAAACATTAACGTTTCAGCCTCTCACAGAAGTATGTAGCTTAACCAGGGCAGGCATCTGTGCAGTGATTTTTTTTTCTTTGTGGTATCTGTAATAGAAATAGAAATAAATTCTGTGTATAAAACCTATGTGAAATTGCTTTTTGCCCCCCTAGTGGCAGGGCTGCACAAAGGTATGAATCAAACAGGTAGTAGGAAGATTTTGGTCAGAAGTGTGAGGCACTAAAGGTTTCTCCCTAGCGCATTTACATCTATGTGTGTGTGTGTATATGTGTATATGCACGTGAGGTAGTGATGGTCGTTGAAGGCTTGTCTTGTTTTGTCACCTCCTTGGTTCTGTCACAACACTGCCAGGATCCCGCCTCAACTTGCATTTTTAGCTAAACATGAACAATTCAGCATGTTACACAACAAAATACATGTGTTGCAGGAAAATTGATAGCCCACTGTGACTACTGTTTTCCCCATCTTCATCTTGCTACCTCTGCTTTGTTTTCTGAAGCTCTCACATAAAAATCTACTGTTACAATTGGAACTATTCTATGGCAACCAGAACTAATTGCATAAATCATAAGGCTTTTGAACTCCTGATGTCTTTGCTCTTGAAAAACAAAAAGCCTACCTTTTTTTTTTTTTTTTTTTTTACCTTACTCATGACTGCAGCTAATTAGAAACTGGGATTCAGTTAATGCTATAAATAGTGTTTAAGAGTGTTTGGGTTTAAAATTTTAACTGTGCCTGGTGAACTAAAAGTGAGCTTGAGAAATAAATGACTCCCATGCACTGTAAGTTAACAAAAGGAACCACTCAGTTTGCTGAACTGAACAACTTTGTCTTTAGCTCTGTTTCCTTTCATCATTGTAAAGAAAGAACAGATTTACTTGGTCACCTTGACTTTGTTTCCCTCGTAATTTTAATGTATTTTAAAACAAGCTTACATTTACTCAGTAGGCATAGAACCCTGTTTACTGAACTTAATGGTTTCATAGGTTTTGAATGGAGTAACTGCTGAAATAGTTTAATAACCTAAAGTGTAATACTGTTTCTGAGGCTAATAGTCAAAAACTGAATTAGTTTTTTTTAATGGTACTAAAGTTTCTTCAGTAGTTCAGAACTTTAAAACTTATGTTGCAGACTACTCACAACTCCAATTGTATGGTAATGTGCTGTTTTAGTACGCTGTTTAGGCTGAAAACTGACTTTCAGAAAACCTAATTTATTTTTTCTATGGTATAATTAGCCATGTTGTCTTGTTCGTTTTTTGATTTTTGGTTGATTTTTTTTTTTTTTAGGTCAGGTAGAAATGTAAATAAAATAACAAATCCTCCAGTTTTCCAAACTAGATATAAAAGAGCAGTCTGCAGCTTTGAAAATAACAAAACTGGTCAAAGAATTAAAGCAAAATATGGTTTGGAGACATAGCGGTGTGGTAGAGAATTGAATTGCACATTGTAACTATGTTAGAGAATTCTTTAGTGAAGATAGATGTGTTACACAAACTGAAAGTACCTCAAATGAGAGGTGCTCTTTACTTTCTCTGAGAAGTGCTGCAGTGCTCGAGAATGGTGAAGTCTTTTGTGAGTACACAGAAGGCCTGTACGTACAAGTAAGCAGTCCTATTTAAGTTTTGTCTCTATAGTCTGTAGTTCATGGGAAGCAAATAATCCATGGGGTTACACTGCTTTGAGAGCCATAGAGATCCAAATACCTCTTACACACATCAGTACAGTCCCTGTAGGACAGAAAATTTTGGAGGGTGCTACTTTATTGCATTCTCTGTAATAAAGCTTGTCTGGACTTGAAAGAAGTTGGTTGAGACTTTCAGATTTTCTTCAGGTAGTAAGCAGTTAATGAAACATACTTGGTTGTAAACAACAGAGAGCTTCAGTAATGCAGTTGTCACTCTTGGCTTTGGGTTGACATCAGAGAGAATGGCATGCAAGCTTGCAGTTGATACCAAAGCATCAGTATTTTGTGTAAAGAGACAACTGATGGTCCTTATCAACTTAACTTAGAAAGAAAGAACAGATATGAAGTCAGCTAACCATATGAACTTAGTAGCAAACTGAAATGAATAGTAATTTTCACCATTTTAAAACAGAAACAGAAAAAGTTTTGAAGTATATCTTTATAAACCCTGGATGCACCAGCCCTCTGAAACCTGTCTTTTTAAATCAAATTTAGACTTGCCTTATCTTTTAACCAAGGGCAAGGAAGTAGTCTCAAACTGTGGCAAGAATCAGGAGTCTTCCTGTTTGTTCCTGTTGTGGTTATATTTCACATCCGGACTACTTGTAATTATCTGCAAATGGCCTTTTAGCTTTTGTGGTATCCTCCTAGCACTGTTCAGTGTAAATCCAATTGGATTTGCAGCAGGTCTTTAGTTAAAACAAAGAATGTTCTTGGGGACAAAAACACCCTTAGGAAAAACACTTCTGTATTTTGCCCCAGTTATTTCACTTGAGAAATCCTTGACTCTATTGCCAGTTGTATATCCAGTGGCACTTTTAAATGGCTATTGCAAGGCAACATAGTGAATATCTTCTGTGCAAGATTCTAATTAATTTTTAAAACCTAGAATTTTAAGAACAGACTGGATTCTAACAAGGTAGTTGGGTGTAGTTTTTTTCTGTGGGCTGGGAAAGACTTGCATGTAAGGGGAGCTGTCTTTCAGGGGTGCATGGTCATCTTATGTGCTGATGGAAAATCAACTTACTGTGTTTTCTTTCTTTTCTATTCAGTCTTGAAGATTTAAAATTTCCTTTGTGATACAGTTTCTTTTAGGCATGGTGTGGTTCTGGAGGTAGTTTCCAGGGTAGACGCAAGGGTAACCAGACTGCATTATCTTTTAAATCTTCTTAAAAATAAGCATCTTATTTCACATAAGAAAAATAATTTTAGAACTGAATTTGGAAAGATTAGATTGGAATTGCCTCAAATCCAATTAAACCACACTGCATGGACGTGCTGGGAATATATAAATGCGATTACTGTAAATTTGTACAAACTGATTTGTTGCATTATCTTGCTAATCTAACATACGGTACTTTTTGTGTCCATATTGCAGACGGCAACTCCAAACTAACATGGCAGTCAGACTGTGTGATGTGGCTTCTCTGCTTAGAAGTGGTTCGTGGGCAGCAGAGCCTTGGACTGGGGTCTGTGGGACTTTTCTTAAATTCTGTAGGCTGCTTTTTTACATGTTAATAGTGCTGAGGCCATACCAAAGTCTTTAAATCTCCCATTTGGAATGCCAACTTACCTGTTCCATTATAGGCTGTAGGTTGTGTTCTTATTTGTGAGAGCCTAGAGCACACTGACATACCAAGACAAGTTTTTCTATAATATGGTGATCTCCTGTAGAAATTACACTGCAGTGGCTTGCCTTTCTTCTAATGTCAATTAGATTTTAGTACTAATTCAAAATACCTGGTGAGTAATTGAAGAGGAGTATTGTACTAAAATGGTTTTGGTATGGTCTGAATACTAAGTTGCAGTAACCTTGAAAACCTGTATACTGTGTGTTTATGATTACTATCTTAAAAGTATATTTACCAGTCTTATTCTAAGAAATTGTTAGAAAACTGTAAATGTATCTCAATCTATTTTTCTGAGTGAAAAATATTTAGTGCTTTGTGCGTTGTCTTTTATGAACAGTTCTATTCAACCTATCAATGGGATATGCATTATTTGTAAAACATATTAATATCACTTTATTCAGAGCAGGTGGTTCTAGAGCTGAGAAATGCTGTAATTTTCAGTGCACACAGGCTACTTCAGCTGTTCACTTGAATGCTGGCTTAGGATCCTGTTCTTGCCACCTGAACATGAAAATAAATGTGTAATTAAGTGAATCGTTTGCTGTCCTTGCTAAATCCTGCGAATTTTGATCAGTGAACACTTCAAATTTGAAAGTAGAAGACAAAAAGGGGAAAAAACAATCCTAGAGAGCCTCAGTTGGAGCACAGCATTTGTGACTACCACCTCTACCAGATATACTCATCTTTTGAGAAGTAGTTTATCTTAGTTGGGATCATCTCCTTTATCATCTTTTCAGTGGACTTGTTTTGTCAGTAGCAGGAGCAGGTTATCCCTTGGAGTTTGTCACAAGAGAAGAAAATGTTGTTCCATTTGCAGCTCTTTAAGAAAATTAGATTATGCATTTGTAATAAATGTTCTTAGCAGATGCATCCCTTTTTTACATTGTGCTGAAGTAACCTCTTGTAAAATTCTTCTGTATGTGGAACATAGAAATATGTTCCCAGGAATGTCTGAAATGTACTTTTAGAAATTCAGCTTTTACCCCCTCATATTTTTAGGAAGTTCAGTTATGCACTCCCTGAGTGTAGTTGACCTAATCAGCTGTTTGGGTATACATTGATTGCATATTGTGCTTTAATCTGGACTGTTAGTGCAGAACCTTCAGAGGTCCTGATGCTACACTGTTGATTTTACAAGAGGCTTTCTTTTGAGAGCTCCTCTTAGCAGTTAATTATGAGGTTGGATTTCAGTGACTGATCAATTTCTTCAGTAAACCTCTTGCTTAGTCGTCTTCTGTGTTGAAATGCGTATCACTGGAGAATTAACTTAGGTAATTTCCTCTTGAATGTTGTCCTTGAATAGTTGGTTTCAAAGAGGGTAGGATGCCCAAGTCTTGGATATTAGGCTGGCTTTAAAAATCCACTGTGATTACCAACTGTTGCCGTTCAGTCACTGACTGAGATGTCAGAGAGCCTTTTGTATATGTGCAGCTTGTGACAAGTATTTGTGTAGAATTACAGTCCTCCAAATTACTTCTACTGCATCTTAAAATCATGCAGTCAGTTACTTTAGGGTGAGGCAAAGAATCATAGAATGGTTTGAGTTGAAAGGTATCTTAAAGATCATCTAGCCCTAATACACTTTGCTGTGACCTTCGACTAGACCAGGTTGATCAAAGTCCCATCTGACCTGACTGTAAACATTTGCAGGGATGGGGCATCCACAGCCTCTCTGGGCAGCCTGTACCAGTGCCTCACTGCTATCATAGTAAAGAATTTCTTCCTAATATCTAATCTAAACCTACTCTGTTTCAGCTTGAAGCTTCTTCCCCTTGTCTTGCCACTACAGGACCTTGTAAAAGTTCCTCTCCATGTTTCTTTCAGGCTCCCTTCAGGTACTGGAAGACCACAGTAAGGTCATCTGGAAACCTCCTCTTTACAAGGCTGAACAGTTCTTGTTCTCTCAACCTTTCCTTGTAGGAGAGGTACTCCATCCTTCTAGTCACCTTGGTGGCCTAATCTGGATTTGCTCCAACAGGTCAATGTCCTTCCTGTGCTGTTGACTCAGGACCCCAGAGCTGCATGCAGCACTCAAGGTGGAGTCTCACCAGAGTGGAGTAGAAGAGCAGAATCCCCTCACTTGACCTGCTGGCCATGATTCTTTTGGTGGAACCAAGAACACACTTTCTGAGCTGCAATACACATTGTTGGATCATATCTGACTTCATCCACCAACACCCTGGAGTCCTTCTTGGCAGGGCTGCGCTCAATCTGTTTATCCCCCAGCGTGTATTGATATGGGAATTGCCATGAATGACCCTGGTGCCAAGTTGCCATGACCTTGCACTTGGCCTTGTTGAACCTGACACTGCCATGGGCCCAGTTTTCCAGCTTGACCAGGTCCCTCTGGATGGCATCCCATCCTTCGAGTGTGGCAGCTGCACCACTCTAGCCTGATGTAATCTGTAAGCTTGATGTGGGTGCCCTTGATCCCTTTGTCTGTGTTACTGGTGAAGACATTGAATTATACTGGTCCTGGTATGACACCACTTGTCACTGATGCCCACTGAGACTGAGCCATTTACCAGTATCCTCTGGATGCAGCTATCTGGCCACTTTGTTCTCCATCTACCCATCTTTTATCTTCACTTTAGAGAAGAGGATGTTGTGGGGTGCAAAGCCTGTGTCAAAGGCTTTACAGAAGTCCATGTAGATGACTGACATCTGTATCCCTTCCCTTGTCCCCTGATGCAGTCATTCCATCATAAAATGCCTCTTGGTTGGTCAGGCAGGACTTGCCCTTGGTAAAACTGTGCTGGCTGTCTTCAGTTACTTCCTCATTTTCCCTGTGTCTTAGCATAGCTTCTAGAAATTTTTGTTCTGTGATCTTCCAAGGCACGGAGCAATTCTTGGAGTGGTGGTCACTCCCTTATTTTGATGTCTAAAAGTAAAAGATTCAAATTTGTATGTTTTCAGAGTTCAGGCGAGGGAAGACCTGAGACCCAGGAATTGTCAGTTTAGTCAAATGAAAACATTTAGAAACCTAATTCCAACATGTCGTGACAAAAGCTTAACATAGAAGTTGTCAAGTAAGAGTATGTTTTTCATCCCAGCACATTTATATATCCTCTAAGTATCTCTTTAAAATACTAATCTTGGTTGCTGCTGCTGCTTATGAGAAATATACTCAGGATACAGTTAATCTTCACCTTTCTGAAAATAATCAGATACTACCACCTTAAAAGCTGCATTTCATGTTCCAGTAACCAACTGTAAGTTTATAGAAATGATTACCCTTGCAACAGACCAATTCTACTTGGTAACTTCTATAATAGAAAGGCTGTAATGCCCCTAAATACAGGAAGTGGCAGAGGATGAAAACTAAGCTTTGTGTGTTGATGTCATTGAGTGAGCTTCTTGAAGATACACTTCATTTTCCTGCAAGTTTTAAAAGTATTGCCTTGACTAACACTTAAGCTCCTTCTGTATTGGTGGGGAGGGGTTTTTTTGCGTGTAGAGGCAGTATATGGCCTTGGCAGTACCGTTTCTGCATAGTGATAGCTCTTACATTATTGTCTAGACTCTCCTACTAGATAGTGAAATAGGAGGTTTGATGCTTCTTGTTTTCTGTTTTTCAGCAGGTAATTGCTGCCATGGAAACACAGCTGTCTAACGGACCAACTTGTAATAACACAGCCCATGGTTCAACCACCATAAACAATTGCTCGTCACCAGTTGATTCTGGGAACACAGAAGACAGCAAGACCAATTTAATAGTCAACTACCTTCCACAAAACATGACTCAAGAGGAACTGAAGAGTCTATTTGGCAGCATTGGGGAGATAGAATCCTGCAAGCTTGTCAGGGACAAAATAACAGGTATGTTGATTTTGGAGTTTTCAGCAGCTTTTCATTTTTCCAGGCAGTGAACTGTCAGATGGTGTTTTATAATTCTTTTAAGTCATGGAATACAGATGGAAGAAACCAGTGCTGCTACTGCTAGTCAGAAGGACTTTAGATTAATTTTTTAATTACATACACCAAAATTTCATCCAGGTTTGCGTGAGTGTTATAACTGCCAACACGACATTTAAACCTGAGGTTTGGGTTCTTTGGAAAGATGACTTGGATGTGGAAAAGCAGATACTTACACAAGGTTTCCTTGAGTTTTAATTCAACTTCATTGGAGTTAGATTTTAGCTCTAGTTGATGAAAAGCTTCCTTTTTCAGGGATGCAGGTAATGAAACTTGTACCTTGGAAAAAGAGCAGATTACCTTACTTTGCAGGTAAAGCTGATTTTGCATTGCAGCACTTCAGCAATTTCTTTAGAATGTGCACTTGAATCAATATGTGCTCTTTGGCTTCCTTCTTATTGAATAGTCTTCTGTGACAGTCTGACTTCTGTGCTGTTGGATGAAGGTGGCTTTACCTCCCCTTTGGTTCTGCATAACCAGTGCTTCTTACTGTAGCAGATGATTTGTCCTTAAGATGTTAGGTAGCGGAATGGGTAAATCTGTAAAATATCCTGCTTCAGCATGGTAGTCTGGGATACTGAAGTCACTGCTTGTTAGTCCCTCTGGGTTGACCAAGTCTCTGCTCTTCAGTGTGAAAAGTACTGAATGTTTTTGGGGATGCCAAAGAAACTAGATTTGGTTGAATGCTGCAGCCTCCTGTCTTCAGGTGGGGGCTGGTTGATGCAGAAAACAAGCCTGTTTTCTTTATAGGTCATGACTCCAGTGCTTTGAAACAAAAGGTCCTTTACTTAAGTATTTCCTGACCTTTTGTCATGGGAGCAGAAGGATGAAACTGGTACTTCATCAGCTGGTGAGATGGCTGTTCGAAGTGTTTGTCTGTCTTGCAGATATGAGTTCACATATTTAGCATTCCTTACTAAATTTAAGAATGACATGCTTCCCCCAACTAAGAGGCTGTTGCAGAGCTGAGCCTCAAGGTCTTAATGATCAATGTCCAAATTACCATGTCCTTACATTATGGTTTTGATGTTTGGTATGCTAGAAGTCCCCACTACTGGTGCATCATTTCAAAAGAATCCTTACCTGGGAATGGAGCAAGACGTAGTTGTAGACCTCTTGTTTCTAGGTGGGATATTTTCTGTATAGCATGAAGTGATGGCTGAAAAGGATCCTGCGTTCACAGGAAAACTTCACTGAAATAATATTCTCAGTAGCTGAGAACTCCAGAGCTGGAACTACTGGAGATATAGCTGGTTTTATTATTTTATCAGAAAGCAGCTTCTCAGCTTTGAGCCATACTTTTAGCTGCCAGGAAAAATACTGCATCAGTCTTGTTCCAAAAGGTTTTAATTATAAGTGAGATTGAGAAATGTGGTGTCTTGCCTTATAACTGCATTGGGAGCAATAGTTCTGATTTAAGTAGCCTGGAGCAAGATTACCTTTTGTTTGTGAATGCTGAGGAGAAAACTCTCTAGCTTCAGTCCTGTTCTTACTCATTTTCAAGTTTTCTACAGAGTTCTTGAAAAGCAGATTTTTTTACTTATAAGTTCAGAGACTGTAACCAGGTTTCTGTGAAGAAAGATTTGGCATGAATTTCAGAATTTTATTGGTTTGATTCCTGTGTTAAAGCAGTAGTTTTTTTCCTCCTTACATGAACTGCCATGAGTACTAGATACTTTGTGAGTACCTTTAAATTTTGAGAAATTTAGGGGCGCATAGAAGTTGATGATACACACTTTTTTGCTGGCAGCATCACCAAGGTCTGGTATGGTTTGTCTCCACCACTCCAGGCCTGCTAATTTGCAGAGAGAGTGGAGTTTGCTGGTGGCAGCACACAGCAGCCAATCCAATCTTGACCTTGTTGTAGAGTGGTATCATCCTGCAGGCTTGTTGTCAGAGACTGTTTCACTTTCTGGGGACTGTCACTGGTGGGCAAAGCCAACAGGAGGGAGGAAGAAAGTAGAGCCCACTGATCAATGGGGCAGAGATCAACTTGGTTACCCAGAAGGGCATCCAGTGGAACTACATGGAGATGTGATCTCTGCAGCTATGCCCAGTTAGCAGCCACAGTCCTGTCTTAAGAGTCAGTTATTCCTGACATGGTTAACTGGATCACCAGTGCTATGTGGTGAAGTTCAGAGGGGTCAAGGCAGGTTACTGTCATCTTGACTAGTACTCATTAGAGCATCCTGTGAATTTGAACAAAACTTACTCCCACCCAGTTATTGAATATGCACTCTGTGGTCACATCTGCAACACTGGAGTGCATTTAAGGTTGCATTGTCACAGAATCACAGAATGTTTTGTGTTGGAAGGGATCTTAATGAGCATCTGATTCCAACCCCCTGACCATGGGTAGGAGCAGCTCTCATTAGAGATGGAAGTGCCCCAGTTACTTAAAGCTGTCTGCACACTTTAGGATTGAGATGAGTTGAGCTTGAAGGCCTTCCTGCCTCTGGAAAACCTAGTTGAGGCAAAGGAGGCACCCTAGAGTTCAATTACTAATTTCATGGGAGCAGTCTGAAGTCAGTTCGAGTAGTTTCAGTGATACTTTTTCCATGGAGTACAATTTGTTAGAACATCTTGATTGTGTCAACCAGTGGTTATAGTTCCTTGAGCCATACTGCCAACATAAAGTTTGTGTCCCTTGTTGGTTGGTAGCTAAGGGTTTACTTGTGAAGGGGTTAAGAGAGAAAGCTAACCTGTAGAAGGTTCCTGCTGGTCATCTCCAAGCATGCACTTCATGTGCACAGCTTGCTGTTGGGCCAATACTAGTAGCTGAGGTGTAATTTGCTTTCTCTATTAAAAGAAAAACACTGAAAGTGCTATCATTAAGAATTAAATAGCTGGTTTGTTTCACTGAAGGTAAACAAAACATTTATACTAATGAAGATTTTAAAGGGTGCTGAACTAGAATTTCTTCACCTGATAATCCCATTGACAACATAAGTGATAAGTAGGTCATGAATGTCACTTATCTTCACTTGCTAACCGGAGAATCTGTTTGGAATGAGTCATTGTGCATAGATATTTTAGATATCTGTGTTAACTCTTACGTGCTTTTGACTAATGCAGGTATATGTAAATACAAACTACAAAACTAGCAAATGAAGTGATTTTAGTTGTACAATAAGTGGGAGCCCTTGATCTCAGCAGTGTCATAACTGAATTCTAATCAGCCACTGTAGATAGCTGTTTAATTTGGTTTAAAAGCTTTTACATATTTAAAGGCAGCATAGGCAACATTTATCATATAACAGTTTGCATAATCCAGTGTTAAGCATGTATAATTAAAAAAAAAACAAGCTAAAAAGACTCTAAATTTAGTTGGGAAAGAGGGTATAAAGTAGGTGAAATTCAGTTATCTGAGCTGCCCTTGTGCAAGCACCTGAAAGCAGAGGCTTTCCACTACCATGAGACAGATGGATTTAGTAACTTTTGACAAAATATAAGACAGTAATAATTAGCACTTAATAGTTACCTTAGTACTACAAACTGCATTTTCTAGGCCTACTTTTCTGAAACTTGAATATAGTAAAAATGTGATGAATGTAGTATCCTTATAAAAGAACACAGGGTTTAAATCTCACTGCCTTTAGTGAAAGTTCAATTGTACATGTGGAATATAAAGGCATGCTTTTCACACTGTGGAACAGTCTCCGTGTTTTCAGGCATTTGCTTCTTTGTCATTTACCCAGTAGTGTTTGTGGAGTTGTTAACTAAACTGAAACTTGTGGAATTCAGACTCTTAATTTCAGAAAGCAGCTGGTGACTTAAATTTGGGGAAGTGTCTTTGTTTTCTTGGCATAGAACAGAAGACCTGTACTGTTCTCAAAATAATCATATGCTCATAAAATTAGCAACTTATTTGATCTAAAAGAGAACCTTTCTATTAAGAGGTTTGGTTTTCTTTTCTCTTTGACTGTGTTTGAACTAGTAATAATGCTTGTATGTGTATTTCAGCATGCTGGCTTATTCTCTATCTAGAAAATGAGCCAGGGTGTGTTTAGAGACCTAACCAAGAACAGTGTATCACATCTGTAGACATGTGTAGTTGAGAAGCTGTGGTACTAGACTGTGCCATTTAGTACAAGGATACAGGTACTTCACACCTGAAGGCTTCTTTTAGTATCACTTCTGCTGCCAAAATTTCTACTGTCTCTAAGTGAAGATAGAGTAAATCCACTTCAGGACATTCTTGTTGATCACTGTTATATGGGCATTTTTTTCAAACTTGATCCAACTGCCTTACTGTGAAGCTAACATGTTGGTTGAAAGCCTGATCCTCTTACACATCTTTTCCCCAAAAATCTATGTTCCTTCTTGGCCTGTGACTGGCAACTGCATGTCACATGGTAGAGTTTCTTTATGGTCAATGTTACAGCCTCACAGAGTACAAGATTTCATATCTTACTATGTGACCCTTAAAAAAACTTCATAGACTTTTACAGTCTAAAGTACTGTAGTCTACAGTACACTGTGAGGGACAGTTGTGTAGAGGAAGGTTTGTGTTTCTGTATCTTGTCCTGTCAGCTTTAGTCTTATGGCAACAGGTGTACCTTATTTCATTTTGCAAAATTTCTTCTTATCCTCTGAAAATTATTTTTCAGATACTTTGAAGTGTTGTCTCATACCTGTTTTGCATATATTGCAGATGTAAAATGCAACACACAATTGAACAGGTGTCTAGAACTGTAGTTTAGAAGAACTACTTGGAAGCTGAGCAATTCCAGAAAATTGTTGATGTATGTATGTTAGCAGAAGTTTTGTACAGGGAGTTTCAGTTGTTAACGTGGAAATTTCTCATGCATATTCTGTTTTCATTGACGTACCGTGGTAATAAATCTGAAGGATTCTGGGTTGGTCCCAAAAATAGAAAAAGAATGTATGGAGTTGGACATGGT